GGTTTTCAACAAACAGAACTTTCACACTGTAGCCTGGCCAGTCATGAAACTGGTTTTCAAAGCTTCTCTGATGTGCAGCGCTTCCTGGTGTGACCTTCTAATTGCCCTGGTGTCTGGCTGCGCATAATCAGCAGCCAGGCGATTTGCCTCAGCCTCCCACCCCGCCATAAAGGTCTCCCCCTTACTCTCACAGAGATTGTGGAGCACACAGCAAGCAGCAATAACAATGGGGATATTGGTTTGGCTGAGGTCTGACCGAGTCAGTAACGAGTGCCAGCGACCTTTTAAATGGCCAAATGCACATTCTACCACCATTCTGCACTTGCTCAGCCTGTAGTTGAACAGCTCCTGACTCCTGTCCAGGCTGCCTGTGTATGGCTTCATGAGCCATGGCATTAAGGGGTAGGCTGGGTCCCCAAGGATAACGACAGGCATTTCAACATCCCCAACGGTCATTTTCTGGTCCGGGAAGTAAGTCCCTTGCTGCAGCCGTTTAAACAGAGTAGCGTTCCTGAAGATGCGAGCGTCATGAACCCTTCCCGGCCAGCCCACGTTGATATTGGTGAAACGTCCCTTGTGATCCACAAGTGCTTGCAGCACCATTGAAAAGTACCCCTTGCGGTTTATGTACTGGGTACCTGGTGCTCCAGTGCCAAGATAGGGATATGGGTTCCATCTATCGCCCCACCACAGTTAGGGAATCCCATTGCAGCAAAGCCATCCACTATGACCTGCACATTTCCTAGAGTCACTACTTTTCGTAGCAGCAGCTCAGTGATTGCTTTGGCTACTTGCATCACAGCAGCCCCCACAGTAGATTTGCCCACTCCAAATTGATTCCTGACTGACCGGTAGCTGTCTGGCGTTGCAAGCTTCCACAGGGCTATCGCCACTCGCTTCTCAACTGTGAGGGCTGCTCTCATCTTGGTATTCTGGCGCTTCAGGGCAGGGGACAGCAAGTCACAAAGTTCCAAGTGCCCTTACGCATGCGAAAGTTTCGCAGCCACTGGGAATCGTCCCACACCTGCAACACTATGCGGTCCGACCAGTCTGTGCTTGTTTCCTGGGCCCAGAATCGGCGTTCCACGGCTATAACCTGCCCCATTATCAGCATGATCTCCAAAGCACCGGGGCCCGCGGTTTGATAGAATTCCATGTCCATGTCCTCATCATTCTCGCCGCCGCACTGCCGTAGCCTACTCCTTGCAGCCTGGTTTTGCAGGTTCAGGTTCAGCATAAACTGCACAATAACGTGCGAGGTGTTTACAATGTTCATGACTGCTGTCTTGGGCTGAGCGGGCTCAATGCTTGCCGTGGTATGGCGTCTGCACTGTTCACCCAGGAAAAAGGCGCGAAACGGTTGTCTGCCATTGCTTCCCTGGAGAGGGGGGAGGATGTACCCAGAACCACCTGCGACAATGTTTTTGGCCCCATCAGGCATTGGGATCTCAACCCAGAATTCCAATGGGCGGAGGAGACTGCGGGAACTATGGGATAGCTATGGGATAGCTACCCACAGTGCAACGCTTCGGAAATCGATGCTAGCCCCGGTACATGGACGCGCACCGCCAAATTAATCTGCTTAGTGTGGCCATATACATTCGACTTTATACAATCTGTTTCCAAAATTCGAATTATATAAATTCGGATTAATCCCATAGTGTAGACATACCCTAAGAGAGACATCCCGTCTCAATTTAAAGACTTCTGGTGACAGAGAATCCACCACATCCATGGTTACCTTGCCCCAGTGGGTAATTCCCCTCACTGTTTCAAAGGCGCATCTTATTTCCAGTCTGAATGTGTCTAGCTGTACCTTTCAGTCACTGGATCTTGTTATGCCTTTGTCTGCTAGATTAAAGAGCTCTCCAGTAGAGTCTTAACCTTCTCTGTGATAAACTAAATAGAACAAGCTCCTCAAGACTCTTGTAAGTAAGTAACAGATTCTCCAAAGCCTCCACCAAGGTAACTTCCTCCATAAACTGGGCATCAGGAGGTCACAGAGCAAGTTGCTATCATTCCCCTTCCCTCCAGGGGGCAGAGTATGTCACACCTGAGGTCTATTGACATGGAGAGCATGAATTAACGAGTCTGTCATTCACACTATGAAGCTGCTCTACTTTTTCAACATCCAAGGGAACATATCATTTTTAGAGCCAAGTTTTCAGCGGGTGATCCTCACTTGCACACACGCAAAGTTTATCAGCATCTAGTTTCCCCCCAATTTTGAATGCAGTCACATGTGCAAGTGAGTAGACCCCCTAAATCACCACAATTACGCACAACTGCAGTGAAATGTACATGACCATAGGTATGTGAATGGATATGATTTTGGGCCTCTAAAACATAGTCCTCAGTGTCAAAGCTGGGAAGTGCCTCAAATTCTGGGGCAGTTTAGAGTTACAAATAAGTTGTTTTTTGCATCCCTTATTCATATATTGGGCAATGCAGGCCAACAGCAAACCCGGTGACACTCCAGCAGGCATTGCCAATGACCATGTCTTCAGTCAACTGGCAATTCCTACGTACCAAGTTGCAAAGATGTTTGAAGCGGATACTGGTACTAGTCAACATATGGGTTATTTTATAGTTTGAAACATGGAAACTAATGGCTCACCGTTGGGAAGTCCTCAAGCACTTGCTTATACTTCTCCTTGCTCTCTACGTATCTCCAGTCCGGCTGATACAGATAGGAGTGGAAGTCATGCAACATTGGGACCTTGGTTTCTAAACTGATGGTCATATCATCTTCTACAGTGTCCAGAGCTCGGAGTACCAGGTACAATATGCACACAGCATGACTACGGAGGGAGAAAATGATTCCCTATTACTTGGGATGCCCTATTACTCAGAAAAGTAGTTAAAAATTATCACATGGCTTTTGTAACAGACATTCTCAAATTAAACAGTCCAGCAGCAAAGTGGGGGCTATCCAATTTATTGCACTGAATGCAGCATGTATGATTACCTGCCTTGTGGGCAGGTGACGTGTGTGTGCATTCGGTGCAAGAAGCTCAAAGCCGTCAGAGACCGAGTATGGGCTCTGGACACCAGAGTGGCTGAACTGGAGGAGCAAAGGGAGGCAGAGAGGTAGAACCATAGAATCAAAGAGTTAGTCTAAGCCCCTGCCATGATGCAGGATTTGTTGTGTCTAAATCATCCCAGACAAATGGCTCCAGCCTCCTTTTGAAAACCTCCAGTGAAGGAGCTTCCACAACCTCCCAAGATGTCTGTTCCATTGTCTTGCTGTTCTTATAGTTAGGAAGTTTTTCCTGAGATTTAATCTAAGTCTGCTATACTGTAGTTTGACCCCATTGCCTTGTCTCCTGCCCGCTGTGGCAAGAGAACAACTTTTCTCCGTCTTTTTTATGGCAGCCTTACAAGTATTTGAAGACCACTATCATATCCCCCTTAATCTCATCTTTTCCAAACTAAACATACCCAGTTCCTTCAGCCTTTGCTCGTATGGCTTGCATTCCATCCCTCTGATCATCTTTGTCGCTCACCTCTGGATCCTTTCCAGTTTCTCTACATCCTTTCTATACACTGATGACCAAAACTGGACACAGTACTCCAGCTGAGGCCTTACCAGTGCTGAGTAGAGTGGTACTATCACCCCCTGTAACTTACCTATTTCTCTGTTAATGCAACCTAAAATGTATTTGCTTTTTTTGCAACAGCATCACATTGCTGACTCATGTTGAGGCTGTGATCCACCACAACTCCCAGATCTTTCTCAGCAGTGCTGCTGCCAAACCAGTTATATCCCCATTCTGTATTTTTGCATTTGGTTTTTCTTCCCTAAGCGTAGCATCTGACATTTGTTTTTGTTGAATGTCATTTTGTTATCTATAGCCCAGTTCTCCAATTTATCAAGATCCCACTGAATTTTAGTGCTATCCTCCAAAGTGTTGGCAACCCCCTGCCCCAGTTTTGTGTCATCTGCAAATTTGATCCGTATGCTCTGTATTCCCACATCCAGGTCATTAATAAAGAGTTAAACAACATCAGTCCCAGAACAGATCCCCATGGAACCCCACTTGGGACTTCCCTCCAATCCAACATCATACCATTAATAGTTCTTTGTTTGCATTTGTTTAACCAATTATGTATCAATTTAATGGTAGGTCTGCCAAGCCCACATTTCTCCATCTTATTTATCAGAATGTTATATGGGACTGTGTCAAAAGCCTTGCTGAAGTCCAGCTACATTATGTCAGAAGAACATAAGAACGGCAATACTGGGTCAAACTAAAGGTCCATCTAGCCCAGTATCCTGTCTTCCCACAGTGGCCAATGTCCGGTGCCCCAGAGGGAATGAACAGAACAGGTAATCCTCAAGTGATCCATCCCCTGTCACCCATTCTCAGTTCCTGGAAAACAGAGGCTAGGGACACCTTCCCTGCCCATCCTCGCTAATAGCCACTGATGGACCTATCCTCCATGAATTTATCTAGTTCTTTTTTGAACCCTGTTATAGTCTTGGCCTTCACAACATCCTCTGGCAAGGAGTTCCACAGGTTGACTGTGCGTTGTGTGAAAAAATACTTCCTTTCGTTTGTTTTAAACCTGCTGCCTATTAATTTCATTTGGTGGCACCTAGTTCTTGTGTTATGAGAAGGAGTAAATAACACTTCCTTATTTACTTTCTCCACACCAGTCATGATTTTATAGACCTCTATCATATCCCCCCTTATTCATCTCTTTTCCAAGCTGAAAAGTCCCAGTCTTATTAATCTCTCCTCATACAGCAGCCATTCTGTACCCCTAATCATTTTTGTTGCCCTTCTCTGAACCTTTTCCAATTCCAATATATCTTTTTTGAGTTGGGGCGACCACATCTGCACGCAGTATTCAAGATGTGGGATTTAGATAGAGGCAATATGATATTTTCTGTCTTATTATCTATCCCTTAAAGATTCCCAACATTCTGTTCACTTTTTTGACGGCCGCTACACATTGAGTGGATGTTTTCAGAGAACTATCCACAATGACTCCAAGATCTCTTTCTTGAGTGGTAACAGCTAATTTAGACCCCATCAGGTAAGGATAAAGCTTTGGTGAAGGCTGGAGCCAAGGGGAAGTGGCCCAGGGAATTGAAGGCAGTTTTGCTGAAGGAACACGGCACCATGTGGCTGCTATTCTTAGAGTTCCCGGGCTGGGACGGGGAGTAATGGGCGGGCCTACAATTGGACAGCACCAGCGAGAACCCCCCAGAAGGGGATCTGAACTACTTAGTGATCCAGCTGGAGAAAAGGCGAAACCATTGTCTCCAGGGAGGAAGCCCTGGGAGTATAGGCTGAAACCAGGGCCTGGACTGTTTAAAGACTCCAGACACACCTGACCAGAAGGGGGCACTCGTGAGAGGTGGCTGCCACACCATTACACCTAGTAAAGAGGAGAGGATAAAAGTTGATAAAGGACATGTAGAAGCTGAAGAAAAACAGTCAAATGAAAAAGAGGCCCGTTCAATTACATCACATGAAGGCCAACAACTCAAAAGGGACAAATTTTAAAAGTGCTTGTATACAAATGCTAGAAATCTGAATACTAAGTTGGGTGAACTTGACTGCCTGGTATTAAATGAGGATATTGATATAATAAGCATCACAGAAACTTGGTGTCACTATGACAGAGGTGGGCAAACTACGGCCTGCGGGCCACATCCGGCCCGCGGGACCCTCCTGCCCGGCCCCTGAGCTCCTGGCCGGGAAGCTAGACCCCCGCCCCTCCCCTGCTATTCCCCCTTCCCCGCAGCCTCTGCGTGCCGGGCCGCCAGCGCAATGCTCTGGGTGCCTGAGCAGCGCAGCTGCAGAGCCCGGCCTGACCCGGTGCTCTGTGCTGCGCTGTGGTGTGGCTAGCTCCAGCCGGGCAGTGTGGCTGTAGTGCTGCCAGCCACCGGTGCTCCAGGCAGCGTGGTAAGCAGGAGGGAGCAGGGGGGACTGGATAGAGGGCAGGAGAGTTCGGGGTGTGGATATGGGTCGGGGCGGTCAGAGGGTGGGGAACAGGGGGGTTGAATGGGGACAGGGGTCCCGGGGGGGGGCAGTCAAAAAAGGAGGGGGGTTGGATGGGGCAGTGGGGGGCAGTCAGGGGTGGGAGGTTCCGGGGGGCAGTCAGGGGACAGGAAGCAGGGTGGTGGTGGATGGGGCAGGAGTCCTGGGGGGGGGCCCGTCAGGGGCGAGAAGCAGGAGGGGGGAATAGGGGGCAGGGGCCGGGCCACGCCTGGCTGTTTGGGGAGGCACAGCCTCCCCTAACCGGCCCGTCACACAATTTCCTAAACCCGATGCGGCCCTCAGGCCAAAACGTTTGCCCGCCCTTGCACTATGATAAAAATGGTACACAGTAATACCAGGGTACAAAATATATAGGAATGACAGTGTAGGTTGTGCTGTTGGGGGACTGGCACTATATGTGAAAGGAAACAAAATATAGTAAAAATCTTTAAAGAATCAAACTGTACCATAGAATCTCTATAGATAGAAACTCTATGCTTGAATAATAAGAGTTTATTAGAAATATTCTGCAGACCACCTGACTAGACTGGTGATGGTGACTGTGAAATGCTCAGAGATATCAGAAAGGCTATAAAAATAGAAAACTCAATATTAATGGTGGATTAAACAGACATCCCAGCAATAATGGGGGATTTCAACTATCCCCATATTGATTGAGTACATGTCACCTCAGGACAGGATGCAGAGATAAAATTTCTAGATACTTTTAATGATTGCTTCTTGGTGAAGCTAGTCCTGGAACCCACAAGGGGAGAGGCAATTCTTGATTTAGTCCTAAGTGGAACACAGGATCGGGTCCAAGAAGTAAATATAGCTGAACCACTCAGTAATAGTGACCATAATATAATTAAAGTTAACATCCTTGTGAGAGGGAAAATACCAAAGAAGCCCAATACATTAGCATTTTACTTCAAAAGGGAGAACTGCACAAAAATGAGGAGACTAGTTAAACAGACATTAAAAGGAACAGTTACGAGTGAAATGCCTGCAAGCTGCATGGAAATGTTTAAAAACATCACAATAGAGGCTCAAATTAAATATATACCCCAAATTAAAAAAAAATAGTAAGAAGATCAAAAAGTGCCACCATAGCTAAACAGAATAAAAAAGAAAGTTCCAATCAACAAGGCATTCTTTAAATATCTGAGGTCAAATCCTACTGAAGAAAATAGAAAGGAGCATAAATTCTGGCATATCAGGCGTCAGTATAATTAGGCAGGCCAAAAAAGAATTTGAAGAGCAGCTAGTAAAAGATTCAAAAACTAATAACAACAACAAAAAGTAAGTATATGACAAGCAGGAAACCTGCCAAACAATCAGTGGGACACTGGACTATCGCGGTGCTAAAGGCACACTCAAGGAATACAAGGCCATTATGGAGAAGCTAACTTAATTCTTTGCATCGATTTTCACTGCAGAGGATATGAGGGAGATTCCCACACCTTGAGCCATTCTTTTTAGGTGACAAATGTGAGGAACAGTCCCAAACTAAGGTATCAGTAGAGGAAGTTTTGGAACAAATTGATCAGTTAAAGAGTAATAAGTCACCAGGACCAGATGGTATTCGCTCAAGAGTTCTGAAGGAACTCAAATATGAAATTGCAGAACTACTAACTGTGGTACATAACCTATCACTTAAATCAGCTTCTGTACCAGATGACTGGTGGATAGCTAATGTGACGCCAATTTTTTTAAAAGGGCTCCAGAGGTGATCCTGGCAGTTACTAGCTGGTAAGCCTGACTTCAGTACCAGGCAAATTGGTTGAAACTATAGTAAAGAACAGATTTATCAAACACATAGATGAACATGATTTATTGGGGAAGAGTCAACATGGCTTTTGTAAAAGGAAAATCGTGCCTCACCAATCTACTAGAATTCTTTGAGGGTGGTCAACAAATATGTGGACAAGGGTGATCCAGTGGATATAGTGTTCTTAGACTTTCAGAAATCCTTTGACAAGCTCCCTCACCAAAGGTTCTTAAGCAAAGTAAGCAGTTATGGAATAAGAGGGAAGGTTCTCTCATGGATCAGTAACTGGTGAAAAGATAGGAAACAAAGGGTAGGATAAATGGTCAGTTTTCAGAATGGAGAGAGATAAATAGCAGTGTCCTCCAGGGATCTGTACTGGGACCAGTGCTGTTCAAAATATTCATAAGTGATCAGGAAAAAGGGGTAAACAGTGAGGGGGCAGAGTTTGCAGATGATACAAAATTGCTGAGGAGAGTTACAAAGGGATCTCACAAAACTGGGTGAGTGAGTCACAAAATGGCAGATGAAATTAAGTATTGATTAATGCAAGGTGATGTGTAGTGGAAAAAATAATCCTGACTATACATACAAAATGATGGTGTCTTAATTAGCTGTTACCACTCAAGAAAGAGATCTTGGAGTTCTCTGAAAACATCCGATCAATGTGCAGTGGCAGTCAAAAAAGCTAACAGAATGTTAGGAACCATTAGAAAAGGAATAGATAAGTCAGTGTCTATATTATTTTCAGTCTTTACAATGGAGCGAATCATGGTATTCACTAAGTACTATCAGTTTCTATTGTGCAGAAAAGATTTTGCCTTCGGGCTTGTCTACATTTGAAATGCCACAGCAGCTGCACTGCTGTAGTGCTTCCGGGTAGACACTACCTACGCCGACAGGAGGGGTTCTCCTGTCAGGGTAGGTAATCCGCCTCCCCAAGTGGCAGTAGCTAGGTTGAGGAAGAATTCTTCTGAGGTCTACCATGGGGGTTAGGTCGACTTAAGTACACCACTCAAGGAGGTGGATTTTTGACAACCCTGAGTGATGTAGCTGGGTCGACTTAAATTTTTAGTGTAGACCAGGTCTGAGTTACTTTTGGTTCCAGTTTAGCTAGAAGGTACAGAGAGGACATTTTCTTCATCTGGACTAGATCATTCAAAGAGGGGAAACCAAGCAGGAGCTGAAAAAGCAGGAAAGCTGTTTTCTTCTTCCAGTCTATGAATAAAACCCTGGTGTGAAAGGATGAGATCTCAAAATTCTACCAACTTGAAGACCATGGGGCCAGATTTTCAAAGGTATTTAGGCTCCTAATGATGCAGATAGGCACTTCTGAAAATGCCACCAGGCTCCAAAGCAGGTCAGGTATTTATCTCCCACTGACTGTGCCTATTTGTGGCCAGGACACTCGATTAACCCCCTCCTGGCCCACTCAGTCAGGTGCTTCTGCTGGGCTCTTGCTGCTTGCGTAACCCTCTACTTGTTAACCCTCTACTGACCAGCTAAGCTAGGTGCTCCCATGGCATGGATACATTTACATTAACCCTGTCCCAGCCAGCCCAGCTGCACTAGTGACCTTCCCATGTCCAATACCCCCAACCACTCCCATTGCTTAATTAACCCACTCCTATGAGGTTTAGGTGAGGGAATGACTGACCCCTGCTGCACAGCCTATGCCTATTAACTCCCTCATGTCCAGCTCCCCGCTGTGGGCACTCACCGCAGCTCCCCGTCCAGGGCCTGGATGACGGCGGCGAAGCTCCGGCTGGTCTGATTCAGGTGCTTGTAGCAGGTCTTGAGGTTGTCGCTGAGCGCGTCCTGCGGGCAGAGCAGAGGGGACACGGGCTGCTGGAAGTGGGCAAGGCCAGGCAGACCTCAGAAGGGAAGCCGTGGTGCAAAAGCCGGCTGCCCCTGCAGAGCTGGCCCAGTGGCAAGGAGGAACACACGCTGGATACCCCACTGTCCCTGGCCACCCTACCACAGGGGGAGCAGCATGGTCTGCTGTGCCTCCTAGCAGAGCTCCAGGGGGCCTGGAGAGAGCACCCATCCCGCTAACCCTGTGTGCCCCAGAGACGCTGACCCCCAACGACTGATACTGGACCCCCAAGGAGAGTCCCCTCCCCATTAATTCCATGCACCCTGGAGCAAACCATGACTTAACTCTATGTGAAATGGCTGCCTCTGGTGTCACCTACCAGGATATCTTGCAGCTTCAATACATATGTTCAATGCATAGCACCTTCTCTGTGCTGCTAGATGGTAAAGATTGATTTAAAATCTGTAAGCGAGTTATTTGCCCGTCCACTAGCGCACTGCAAGGCTTTATGGAATATGAACGTGCATAGCTAAGAAAAGAACACAGTCAACTTCTTATCGATAAACTAGGCAAATACAATTTAGATGGGGCTACTATAAGGTGGGTGCATAACTGGCTGGATAACCGTACTCAGGGAGTTGTTATTAATGGTTCCCAATCCTGCTGGAAAGGCGTAACGAGTGGGGTACCGCAGGGGTCTGTTTTGGGACCGGCTCTGTTCAATATCTTCATCAACGACTTAGATATTGGCATAGAAAGTACGCTTATTAAGTTTGC